CCTATCCCTACTACTACTACTACTACTACTACTACTACTACTACTACTACTACTACTACTACTACTACTACTACTACTACTACTACTACTACTACTACTACTACTACTACTACTACTACTACTACTACTACTACTACTACTACTACTACTACTACTACTACTACTACTACTACTACTACTACTACTACTACTACTACTACTACTACTACTACTACTACTACTACTACTACTACTACTACTACTACTACTACTACTACTACTACTACTACTACTACTACTACTACTACTACTACTACTACTACTACTACTACTACTACTACTACTACTACTACTACTACTACTACTACTACTACTACTAGTACTACTACTAGGATCATATCTGAGCTGTTATATCACTCAAAGTCTAAACATAGAATTCTGATCAATAGACTTATGTAAAACCAACCTAACCAACTATGCCTTTGAACACTCATAAATTCCTCAGCTTCCATTCCTTAACCCCTACACTACCCACATGACAGTTCCCCATGGACAGCATCACGGAGGCGGTGGTGTGGACTAATATACCTTTCCTATATTTCTTAATTATAATAGCCATGTTTTGCTATTGCACAGGGAGACAGAACTGCACAACAGTTCGATTGGTTCTTCTTAATGCCTGTGAGATATGACTATTGAACGTGGAAGACTATGAAAAGACTAGCTGTCTTTGACCACATATCTTTGCGCTTTGTTTGCCATGTTAAATGCTTTCGTATGATGAGTAATATATATTTTAAGGTTAGGTGTAGAGTGCTAGGTAAGGAAAGAAAATCAATCGATGAATTAGTTGAAACTACATCGATTGAGAGATGGCTAGTAGGACACGTGCTACGTCTGCATAGCCATCATCATTAGATTGGAAAAGATTTAGCAATGGTGAAATCAAAATATGACATCAATCCATGAAGTCCTTAAGAGTTGGGTTAAAGCCAACTACATAGGGAGGGAGGTGTAGACTCCTTAGTTGGGGGTGGGGGTCTTTGGGATGCTACAAACAAATAGTTTGAGACTGTTGGTGAAATGACTCAATGCCATCACTCATGTTTTTCTCATGTTCTTATTTTCTTCTCCCATACTTCTGTGCTCATAAGAGTTTCTTTGAATCTCTTCTTTTGTCTGTTTTTGTGTACCACATGGAGTGTGGCAACTGGAACCGCTGCATTTCTGAGCCAAGTCCTATGTTGAAACGCAGTTAGTCAGAACAAAAATAGAACACATTGCAACTATATATATATATATATATATATAAATGTTTATAGAAGATCGGATATCTCTCAAGTGTTGACAATAGCTAAGAATGGTGAAGGCTAATTGAACCTTTCGTATATATGTGCCAACATATGTTGCTAACTCATAAACCACCAACGTTGAAGTGAATTTTCAAAGCAATCGGGCGAGTCGACACAGTTCAACACTTCACTCTCTAATCAAACCCTACCACGTATCGATACAGATTATTCCTCATGGAATAACTTATATTTAAGAAGCGAAACATGCTTATTCAACATTTTCAAATGATCACTTGAAGTATATAGAAAACTCTATCTTTCCAGTTTTCTTTAGTTAATAGAAACGTGTAGTCTGCTTATTCCGAGTTAGTCCAGGAGGCTTCTGCAAACAGATTCATTCTTTTTTGAAGTCAGCTGAAGAGATCTTCAGGAATCTGCATAAGCATATCAGTTGTAAAGTTGAATAAAGATAGCGGTGGTGGGCATCTTTAATGGACACTACCGTTTCTATCCTGTGTTTGAGGCCTCACAAATTGTAGAACTTTTTATATACTCCTACGTAGGTATATATATATATATATAATTCCATTACATTCCGAGTGGAACATAGGTCTTCAAGTTGGAGCTTTGAAGTTTCGTTAGCAGTAATTGAATTTTTACAGGGTGGGGGGGGGTTGTCACCCTCACTCCCAACCTACCCCCTTCATCGGTTTAATGAGATTTAGGAGTTACCGATAATATTCGTTGGTGTTCATGCTAAAATCACGAATTGGTAGAAGTTATAATTCATGGGTTGGTCATTGAGTTGGGTCCCAGTGGCTGAATGTTCTCCGAGCTCGCTAGCCTTGTAATCGGAAGATCCTGGGCTCGAACCCTGGCGGTGTGGGTGCTTACTTCCTATGAGTCTCAAACTAGGCTGACAAAACAGCTGTCCAATACTCCACTCTGATCAAATCCCTGTAAATGACGACTAACTACTACTCTCATCCTTCAACTTGTTATATTATGCATTACAGAATAATATTCCGGCAGGATCTAATGAAAATCAAGTGAATGAAAGCCATCAAACTAACACTTCAGGCAGTGGTGGTGGCGGCTTACCGATACCAGTTCTCTTTTCAACTAATCGTCGCTTACAAATGATTTCCAACCGACAGTCTATGCTTAATGGTGGTGGTGGGGGTACCCCGTTGTCTTTTACATCAACACAACCAAATGGTATGCAATTTGTTATTAGTCCACTTGCACCTACTGGTTATATCCTACCATCATCCTCATATATGGAGAATTTATCAATGATAATATGGCAATTTTTTACAAATACAAAACAAACTTCATTGAAGTATGCTAAGAAAGTTCACTTGTGTAATGCTTTACATGTTGTTGTATCAGGAGTTTTTGAAAGTAAGTGAGAATATTTTTGATAAAGGTTGTCTCCATTTTCCTTTTGTGTGTGTGTGTGTGCATAATTATTAATATTCTGCTTTCTCTTTACACTCAATTTTCCTTTAAACAGTTGAAGTAAACTGATTACTAGTCGTTACAGTAAATTATTAGAATTCGTTAATTACAGGATTTCATCATGAACTGACGTCGGTTAGAGAAGCATTAGAAGACCTGGGAGTATTGGACAGCTGTTTCGTCAGCCTAGTCTGAGACTCTTCATCGGTACGCACCCACCGTCAGTGTTCATAGCCAGAACTTTCGAGTTACAAGGCTAGCGAGCTCGTACACATTTAAGCCATTGAGGCTCGATTCAATGACCAGCGTGACTGTCACTAGCTAATGTCATGGCTGGCAAGTATTTGTCTTCACACCTGACCTGGTGTACCTTACTGCTGAAGAGTCCCAAATCAGTACTCCCAGCTGGTTTTCCAATGATTCTTTAACTGATATCAACTCATGATAAAATCCTGTAACCAATTGAATAATCCCCGATAACCAACACTTGAATATTCTTGTTAATTGATTACACTAGGCTGAAATTCTCAGTCTATGCTGATATGTCAGCACCTACCGTGGATGCTTTAAAGGTACATTAAGGCTTATTGATCTGTTGCACAAGAGGCGGCCCAATTGCTTGGTGATGTTGGTGTTTAAGCATTTGAAACGTCGGTAGCCTGATTTCTAGTCTCAGTGAGGATGCATATGCATCCAGATGACAAGTCCCAAGTAGCGTGAAATGCGTGTTTTCTATATTTCATGGCTAACTACTACCAACCAAATACTCCATTATGGATAAGATTTTATTTTGATAAGTCATACAGTGATGTTATACAGTAATATTAACTGATGACCACGTTTCGAGCACAAACTATTACTGCTCATAATCATATCAAGTTACTCACACAACCCTTTTCCTTCATTTATATGCATGTGTGGAATTGAATACATATTTGAATAAAATTCAATATGAGATAATGTACATTCAGAAATAATAATATGAGTGTTATTGATCAATCACAATTAGATCGGAAAAAAGACGAGTGTTTCTACAGTCATAATAAGTTACTTCTTAGAATGTTGTGATGTGTTTGAATTGAAATAGAATTTTGAGATTATTTATTATCCTCTTCTGATTTGACTGACTGGTGGTAATAATATCTTCCATATTTCTGGTATTTACATTGATTCATTTCTGTTGCATGTGTTGGGTGTAGACTCGATAAACTAGGATTCAGTAATCAACCTCTATCTCCACCTACCTATGTTGCTCTTTAGAATTTTAACCCTATCCCATCCTATTGTGTGATTGTTTGTTAATGCGTGAAGTGCAATTGCTGAGCTTTTTTCTAAATTGCTTACCTTTTCAGGGTCAACCATTCTTCCCTTAACTAAATTCTTATGTTCTGATAATCTGACTACCCCCGACCTACTAGTTTGACCTATGTAATTGACTTCATAGTCATTGCAGGGTATTTTGTAAATTATATTATTTTGTCTAATTGAGTCCACCGGGTCTTTTAGCCTACAGAGCTTGTCCCTTTGTGCGTTTGTAGGTTTAAATGCCACCCTAATTCCTGCTTTATTAAGAATCCTTCGTAGGGTCTCAGATGTCCCCTCCTTATATGGTATTACAGTAGATGTCTTGTATTCTCTCTCATTTATGTTATCATTACTAGTTCCACAATTATTTTTTTTTTTTGGCCTTTAGTGATCTTCCTAATGAATTTTATAGGATAGTTATTTAACAAATCTTCTCTATTATAGTTATTTAACACCAACGCTTCTTCCATCTGTTTTTATAAAACAGTGTGGCAATGAATTCTGGGACATCTTTATTATTATTACTCTCTAGGGTTCCTGCTGGAACATAAGGCTTTAAGAGCACGCCTCCATTTCATCCTGCACTCTTCAGTCCTTTTTAGTTGGCTCCACAAATGACCATACGCTCTCATCCCCTCCTCATGCAACCTACTCCGTATCACTGTCTAATCATAGCCCAACTCACCGTTTCTTTCTATTCGAGCTCCACTCTATAGTACCTCTGGCGTGCGAAGTAACTCAATGGTCTCCTCCGTGAGTGTGTGTGTGTCCCATCCATTTCCATTTCCGTCTGCTTACTTGTTGGGCAATAGGTTCTTGATTGGTTCATTCCCAGAGGTCTTTTTTTTGTCAATCCTTTCTGACTGGTCATGTGGTTTTCAGTATGGGGCAAAGCCAACTGTTGATAAAAGCCTGAAGCGTTTGGGAAATAAATGCTTTTGGTGATGCGGCAAATCTCTGAGCCATGCTGAGAAGCACTGACTAATAATTTGACATTGGCGTTGGAAATCTGAATCTTGTTCTTTATGCGCTATGCGGTGTGGTAGATTTCCACACCGATTTCAGACCAGTGAAAGTCTGTCTTGCTCTTCCGATCCTGTTGACTAAGATCATTGATGTAAACATTTGACTGTCAATTCATGAGTTTTCAATGCAAGCAGTGAGCATCTTTATCCGATTCAATTCATGCAACTAACCACTTAATACGTTTATTCCCCTTTATGAACAACAGTGGCGGTTTGTGCAGAATATAATATGGTACCATCATTGTTTATTTCGTTGGCTTCACATCATCTGCTCAGCTGCTTGCGTACAGCCTAAATAAATTATTATTATTATCAAGTTCATGTACAGAAGCAGTTTTAACATACTTGCAAGCTTTGCGTGATGTCAGTTGATAGAAAGTTTCGAACTTAGCGAACAGTGCTCAGAAATTTAAGCTTATATAGTTTTCGCACAGAGAGTTCAGTTTTAAACAAAGTAAATTTATGCATACAATGGTAGAGGAGTTACGTAATAAAGACAAGAGTTACTTAAGATGATGAGTAACTAATAAATTGGGTAACAAACTCGTGAAACCCTATTTATGTTTATTCAGAAAGAAGCAGTTACCAGTCTTTCCTTGACCATCCTGGTAACTGGATGTCTTTATTCTCTCTTTCATTTGATTACACAATCTTTGACTTTAACCTCAACCTCTTTGATATATATTGTAATTTTCCTTATCTCTTGTTTCTATGATTTGAGTTGTACTCAGTACACTGTTAGCTAGTTTATTAGCCACTCATCATCTTACGCACCTCTCGTCTTTATTACGCAACTCCTACCATTGTATACATACATTTACTTTGTTTAGAAATTGAACTCCCTGTGTAAAAACTATGTAAGCGTAATTTTCAGAACACTGTTCACTAAGTTCGGAACTTCCTGTCAACTGAAATTATGTAAAATTCACAAGTATGTTAAAACTTTTCTGTACATGAACTTGATAATAATAATTTATTTAGGCTGTACGCAAGCAGCTGAGCTGATGAGAAGCCAACGAAATAAGCAATGGTGGTACTACATTATTTAACTAACTATTATTGTAACCCATGAATTGATAAGCGTGTATCATCACATATAATCTGTTTGCTTCATAACTGGATATTTCCACGTAACTATGGAGATTCATTGTTTGAATGTGTTCAGTTGACATTTTCGCATTTCACCTCCACCCACTAGGTTCCTCAAGTTTGATTGAATTCTGCCACATAGGCGGCAGCACAACAAGTATGGCTCATGACGCGTAGCACATTAAAAGTCTCTTCAGGTATTGCTGTACTGCTCATCAGTCCGCTCCGTGCTCCTTTATGGCTGTGAGACTTGACCATTGAGAACGGAAGACATGAAAAGATTAGCTGTCTTCGATCATAGGTGCCTGCTTTCTATCTCCCGTGTGAAGTGGTAGTATAATAAGGTGAGCAATACTGAGGTTAGGCGTCGAGTGAGAGGGGAAATCAATCGACGAGGTTGTGAAGTTACATCGACTGAGATGGTTAGGACATGCGTTACGTATGTCTAGTCATCGCCTCCCTCGACGGGCAATGTTATCTGATATAGGTTCAGTCTGGAAAAGAGCTAGCGGCGGTCAAACCAAAACATGGCACCAGTCAATGAAATCCACAACAGTTAGCTTAAGCCACGTAGGAAGATGTAGACTTCCTGGTTGGGGTCCTCGGGACGGTAAAAACCAATGGTTGGAAACAATTGGTGATATGGCTCAAACTCATCGTTCTCAATGGCTGGTGCAGATGCATCCACTCCTTGTGACTTATGATTTCCAATTAAACTGTTTTGTTCTTCGTTATTACTATTCCTTTTTCTCACACCTCTGTTTACTGTCTATATGATGCATTTCTTCTACTTTCTTCTCTTGCTTTGTGTGCTACAAGGAGGGAGTGTGGCGACATGAGCTGCTGCACATCAGTGCAAAGTTCTATGTCGAAAACAGACAGACAGACAGTCAGGTATTGCTGAGTTCCATTCAATAAAGTGTGGGGGGGGGTAATATGACGTTGCTCACGAGGTAAACACTAGTCTAAAAAATAAAATTAAACAGATTTCACTGGAACTTCCAAACCTCATTGTGACGTATAATAAATAATAAACCCTTGTCATTTAATTTCGATTCTAGTGACTTAAAGACTAATATAAAATATCCAATAAAATTCTGTTGTTCTTCTTCCATATTACTACTATTCTTTTTGCCTCATATTCCTGTTTATTATCTCTATTATTTACTCTCTTCTCTTGCTTTTTATGCTACATGGAGTGTGGAAACTAGAACGAACTGCTGCACATCTGTGCAAAGTTGTATGTTGTAACCAGTCAGTCAGTCTAATGTCCAATATAACAGGGTGTAGGGAACAGGATTGATCACGGAAGCTTTATGTGTCGAATCAACTACAGACACGTGTAATAGGAAAGCTTCAACACCTATCCAGCCAGACATCTGGAAAATTCCCCTGCGCGCCTACCTACGACAACGAATAGGAAAAAATAAAGAAAACTATAAAATGAAAGTTTCAAAGTTATGTGGTGATAATAATTGATGAAATGATTATGATTAACAATAAATTGTCATTTAAACTTCGTCATCCAGTAAATAATACTGTTTCACCATGTGATATATTTAGTATCAGTGTTTAGACTGTTAGCAGCTGATGAAAACTTGTGGAATAAGAAAACTCTGAACTGTTTTTATCATGCAAATATATTTCTTTTTCATTTGTTATTATTACTTTTTGCTTGTGATGATGTAATTGTTTCCTCTTTTTGTTTTGTATTGTTTTGTTTTTTTAACAATTTTTTAAAGATGCTGGTCTGTTCATTGTTGGCTCATCAATGAACGGTTTTGGCTCAGATCAAAGTGATATGGATATGTGTTTAACTGTGACATCACGTGATTTACAACAGAAAATAGAAGCTGCCGACATATTAAGTCAGCTGTTACCACCTTTACAAAAGTGTAGTACGTGCAGTGTTTGTTCTATTCAATATATATATCTTTTTGCGTGCTGTTCTCCTGGTATAGATAGACATTTTGTAGCCAGGATACTCTTCAAGGTTACCTTGGGGGGGGGATACAATGGCAGAATGCTCGCCGATTATGCCTCATGCGTTCTCCGCAGTTCGATTTTTGGCTGACACACACTCTTAAACGGGATATTGGACATGAAGCCAACAATTCCATTCTTTGAAACGAAACTTAAAAGCTCAAACTGGAAGTCCTATTTCTCACTTAGAACTCAGAGGAGTCGAAAAAACTGTTTGATGGATGCTCTGTGAGACTGACTAGCAGTAGAATTCAGGACATACTTGTTTCGTCCTGCTTTTAGTACTCTCATTTTCCTGTCTACCTTTGTGTGTGCTATTTTGGAACGTGGCAACTCGAACTGCTGCACTTTAGTGCCAAGTTCTATGTTGAATCCAGCAGCAGCAGCAACTGGATATATCTGCGAACTCACGCCAGTGAGTGATGGGATTCCCAGGCTGAAAAGCGAACCGAACCACTCATCGTTCTAAACGCTAGTGTGAGCCAATAGACCAATTGGGTCGTGAGAGAGTCACCTCTTGTGAAACGGGTATGTGTCAGCAGAGACCCAAGATTTCGGTACAGTATAATCAATCAATGGGGAATACAAAGCTAAATTCAACGATTACTCTTCAGATTATCAACTTCTCCATCGATACAGTCATTACAGCACATAAGTCTTATTCTCTGATAGACTGTAAATAATTACATTACTTTTGTACTGTAAAGGTATACCGTCTTCAGTAATATTTGTCCAGTCATTGAATTCACTTGTGAAGTTGATTTTGAGTTTCACCACGGATTGATATCAGTTAGAGAGAACCATTGAAAACTAGCCGGGAGTACTGGACAGCCAGCTGTTTCATCAGCCTTGCTTGAGAATCATCGGCAGTACGCACCCGCTGGGTTCTGAACCGAGTACCTTCCGGTTACAAGGTAAGCTCGTATACTATCCAGCCCGTGGGACCTTTAGTATGTGGAATTAATTTTTTTTCAAATTTTAATTTTATTCCTTTACTATCCCAGTGGAACATAGGGCACCTTAAAGCTAAAGAGAGCTTTGAAGTTTCGGTAGCAGTGGTATTTTATGTTTACGATATGATTTTGTTAGCCTCATGCCCAGCCTTCCCCCTGTACCAGTCTTATTACTGGCTTAGCGAGTTAAAGGAGGGCGTCCGTGGCCGAGGATTGGACCCTGGACCACATGCATGGTCGGTGAGCATTCTGCCACTGTGCCACTCTAACTGACTTCAGTGACTCAGAGATTGACGTGTTACTACCAGGGAATAGTAGTCTTGTTGATTTAGAATATGCAAATGATATAATCCTCCAATCCGCGTAAAGACGCTGGCGAAATAGATCAGAGTCTTCCGAACACCTTGAGCTGCAATCTGCGAGTGGTTGGCATGCGATTCGCTCCCTTTGTCAAATATATACAGGACTCGACTGGACTACATTGACTTCTAGCTTGAAGGCTGAGGAGCGAACTGTTTGGTGAAGCGTGTTGACCGCTTCACTCACTTATTTGGGGAGTTGCATCAGTCAATACGAGCGGATTGGTCGCTGACGAAATCTCAGCACGGATACAGAAGGCTCGTTTCGCATATGCCAGTTTATGCCATCTCTGGCTAAGTAGACGTGATATCCGGCTATCGACCAAAGGACGTGTGTACTGCTCAACAGTCCGCTCCGTCCTCCTTTATGTCTGTTAGGCATGGTCACTGAAAGTGGCAGACACGAAGAGGCTGTCTGTATTTGGTCATAGGTGCCTGTGTTCCATCTCCCGTGTTAGATGGTGTCGTACAATAGAGTGAGTAATATTGAGGTTAAGTGTCGAGTTCCAGATACGGAGGAGAAATCAGTCGACGAGGTGGGTTGTGAATTTACATCAATTGAGAGCTATAATTAGGACATGTGTTACGTATGCTAACCCAGCCATCGATCGCCTTCCAAGGCGAGCAACGTTGGTTGACATAGGGTCAGGTTGGAAAAGGGTTAGTGGAAGTCAAATCAAAACATGGCTTCATCAGTCAATCAGATTCACAACAGCTAGTTTAAGCCAACCAACCAGCCAGCCGAGTAGGGAGGTGTAGACTGCCTGGTTGGCTGGTTGGGGTCCTTTGGACGTTGAAAACCAATAAAGGCTGGAGACAGTTGGTGGTATGCCTCGAAATCGTTCCCAATGGCTGGCGAAGATGCATCCACTCTTTATGACTTATAATATCCAATAAAATTAAATGGTTCTTTGATAGTACTATTCTGTTTGCCTTATTTTTATTTGATACCTTCATGTTCCCAGTGGAAAATGGGGCTTCAAGCTAGAGACTTGAAGTTTCTGTAGCAGTGTTTATTTTTACAAGATGGAGTTGCTAGTCTCATAATCAACCTTTACTCTTTACCAGCTTTTATTATTACTGGCTTAGCGAGGTAAAAGAGTGCGTCTGTGGTCGGGGATCGAACCCCGGACCATGTGCATGGTCGGTGGTGGTTACACCAGTATATTAAAATGACCTGACGCGATACACGGACTAGAACTGCAGGTTCCTGCAGGTCCTATCGTTTGAATGGCGGTCACACTAGTAGTAGTTGCCATCATAGTGTAGGTCACTGACACTGTGCTTGGATTCTTTAGACCAACTTGTACAGCTCGTGAGTAGGGACGTAACAGCGATATGGTGTTTCTCTCAGATGACCACAAAGTAAGCTATGCTGTCTTTCCACTCAGGGGAAACGAGAGGTGCTCCCAAAAACTGTGCAGTGGTCCATTAGCGATGTCAAGATCTTAGACCGGACGCATCTCCAGCAACCATTTTAAACAGACTTTGTGTGACCAGCTTAAAACAGCTGTCCCCCGGGGGGCTCTGTGGTCATGCAACACAGATATCCCAAGAAAAAATTGACTGCGGAGCCGGGAATTTATAACCACCCACACACTCTTATCACTATACAGAGCTGTCCTGACCATCATTAAATCATTAGAAAATAGATGGAAATCTTATCTGATGTGAACATTGTTATAATTAATCCTTTCGTATGGTTGCACAGTATAAAGACGATACAAAATTGCTTGGAAATAGATTCGAAATTTCGCTTGAAATATTTTCAAAACGTAAAATCCCAAAGTGATGTGATACTATTGGTTATTAACATGAATGCTTTTTTTCTAGAAGTAACTGACAAAATCTATGCATATCGTTTGTTTCTTTAGTTAATTATCATCAATAAGATGTATCTGAAGATTTATATTACTTATTTTTCAAGGGTTACGTGTGGCCATGGACTGATGTCATTTAGAGAAACATCGGAAATCAGAGAGTACTAAACAGCTGTTTGGTCCTAGTTGGGGATTGGGGTCCGAACTCCAGGACCTTCCGGTTACAAGGCAAACTCGTAGTGCTGTTCAACCACTGGAAGGTCCTGGGTCCCAGCCCCGGTGGGTGCATACTTTTGAAGAGTCCTAAGCAGGGACGAAGCAGCTCTGCAGTACTTTTATTAATTAGTCTACAGTTTTGAGTTCAACAGTCTGTAGTGTCACTGACTCATTTGCTGTGCTAGTCTGTGGCTACGGGGTTTGAATTCAGCCCGGACAACATGGTGGCAGTGCTACTGTGGCGTGATGAAGATTGATGGGAAGTGGCCAATATTGAAATCAGCATTTTACGTCAATGACTGGCTGGAGAGTGTGTATTTAGTTTACGTTGTGAATATGAAATAACCTCATTGGACAACTTGTTTAACCTTGGACCGATGGCCAACCAATCAGAATAATCCATTGTTCTCTGACCTAACCGAACTGTAATGTGACTAAGAAAGTGAAGGTCCGTTACCAAGTCTCTTCTGTTTTCCCGTTGCATTATTAGTTTGCATACACTGATTATGTCTCATAGCCTGCTTCAGGCAGCTCAGTTCAAATAACGCTCTTACTATCAATGAACCGAAATTGTTGAACCAAGTCAAGTTGTAGCAACAGAAGACAAGGGTCAGGCAACAGTTCGTTTATTGAAAAAATCAACAGATATTTATAGATTTTTTTGTACATTATTGTTAGCAGAGAAGCAACGTCTTCTGATTGGTTGTTTTCTTGCTGAAGGTTATTCTGTCATCTCTTCATGGCCGTTTCATAGAAAGTTAAGCCATATATCTGCGAATCGTATATGCACACGTTAAGTCTGCTGTGATTGGTTGGTGAGTTCCTCAAGGTTAAGCTTTGTTATATTGGCTTGCAGACAGCTTCCACCACAGAGTCATTTATTCAAACCTATCATTCTATTATTCTATCACTTAGAACATTCACAGCCTATTAATAATTATACATTTCTTCTTAAAATTCATCATATATATTTTTGAATGAATAGTTATCGATGATATCATTTATTTCCCCTCTTTTTTATTCACAGGTTTTATTCGTGATTTAAATTTAATTCCTGCTAAAGTTCCAATTTTAAAATTTCGTGATACACTAGCTGGTGTAGACTGTGATTTAAATGTGAATAATGTTGTCGGAATATATAATACACATTTACTGGCTATGTATACAAAAAGTAAGTTTCTATATTTCTTTAAGTTGAAATGTAATTATACTGGACTTTCAATCTTTTACGTTGTTCCGAATGGAACTTCAAGGTAGAGAACTTCAAGACTCTGAAGTTTTAGTAGTAGTGATGGCGGTGTTAGTCTTCCGCCTAACCCTCTGCCTTTTCTGACCTTCCTTCTGCGGGTGTGGGGTTTAGCAGTGCGTCGGCTGGGAATAGATTGTGGATATCCCACGTGGGGAGAGAAGGAGCGTTCTACCAATGAACCATCGATGCATATTTGTTTTACTCACTGAAAAGCACTTCATTTTACCCCATGAACTTTTCGTGTTGTTGGCATAATTCTTAATGTCTGTGTAAGCATAATCTTCAATTCTGCCTTACGGGGAAAGTGAATTTAGTAAATTTATTTTCATGAGTACTGTTCAGTACCTTTGTTAATTATTATTATTATTGTTATTCCCTTGGGTTCCATGTGGAACATAGAGCTTCAAAAACACATTTTCACTTTGTTCTATTTTCTTCTGTCCTGTTCTGCTGGGTCCACCATTGCCTATAATCTCATCTCTTCCGCCTCACACCATCTGCTTCATGTCACCCTCGCACCGACGACCACCTCGTCATTTCTCACTGGGATACCACTCGAGTGATGGCCTGCACTGTGCGCGTTTTCATTCGACGGCCTCCTCAATTGTGTATGCCTAATCCATCTCCATTTCCTCCTACATATTTGTTGAACAATCGGCTCTTGCCTGTTGGTTTCTTCCCAGCCAGAGTTTCTTCTTGTTAATTCTTTCTGGCCGGTTAATCGGTTGGCCATTTATTCTTCAATATGAAACCAGCAAAGTGTGCAACTGTTGGTAAAAGTCTGCATCTGGCGGTTGAAAATCCTTTTCCTGACATGCAGGGCAATTTTCTGACCCGCATAGAAGAACTGACTGACGTCACATTTATGTTGAACAGAATCCGAATATTGTTGTGTTATGCTGAGGCGCGGAGTGCAGAAGATTTCCAAACTGGTTTCAGATTGACAAAGGCGCGTATCTTGCTTTTCCATTTTTGGCCTGCCTTAACATTTTCATCCGTTCTCAATGCCTGTAGTTGAAACGATGCTGGCTTGCCTAGATAAGTGTATGCAGGAAGTAACCCCTGTTGATGGTGATTAGTGCTGGTTGTTGTTATTGTTGTTGTTCGGGGTTGGTTGGTTATCTTCATCACCTCAGTCTTCTCTATGAGAGAACGGGGATGGATTTATTCAGTTAGTCCGCAATATGTTGATAGTAGTAGCCACTGATAATATTCGACAACAGTTTCTAGACTACTATGTTGATTGTTTACAGTTCCAGATTTCATGTAAAGGTACTACAGAAAAGTCTAAAATTGGGATAAGATTATCTTCCTAGTGTTCTTGAGGTTTTAATTATCGGTGTTCCCCAGCTGGTGTATCAGTTCATGATAAAAGGATCTGCATTTTTTTTTTCCTTCACGTTCCCCAGTGGAACATAGGGCTTCAAGCTAGTGGCTTGAAGTTTCTGTAGCATTGTTTATTTTACAGAATGGGGTTGCTAGCCTCATGCCCAACCTTTCCTCTTCACCAGCATTATTTCTGGCTTAGCGAGGTAAAGGAGTGCGTTGGTGGCCGGGGATCGAACTCCGGACCATGTGCATGGTCGGCGAGCGTCCTAACCGCTATACCACCATATTCATCAGTTTTCTTCCTTCTTTTCCTCATAAAACTGCTTACGTGAGCCTAGCGACACACTGAAATGAATCCAGATGTTTTAAAACGTCCATAATCCGACTACCAATCTCCAGCTCATTGATAGATGACCGCTGGGTAGATGTTCTGAAGCTGTACTAAGAAGTCACGGTGGTGGCCAATAGGTTCCAAAGTGTCAAGGTGAAATAGATGTTCATCCTGTAAGGTGTCGATTGACGGTAGCGCTGTAACACGAACTGACAGAAATTAGGATTCTCTTCAGTCATTGGATTTCAGCTCAAATGGCTGAAAAGTCAGTGAGCGCTTGGTCTTGAAGACTCCTGAATCGACCTCTGGTGCAGTCGTAGATGCGCAGTGATTAAGAGTCTCAAGCAAGGACGAAAATATCTGTGTCCAGTGCTCCCTTTGGTTTTCTATGATCATTCTAACTAATGTTGATTCATTCGTGACGAAATCTATATTGGCATTTTTTCCTCTCTCACATAATCTAGTCGACTGGCGTGTTCGACCATTGGGAATGTTTATCAAGTACTGGGCTCAACGTATGGATATTCATGATGGTAAACGTGGTCGTCTATCAACATATCCTTTACTTCTAATGCTTATCCAGTATCTACAGGCATCATGCTCGCCACCAATATTGCCTAATTTACAGGCCAAATTCCCGGTATGTTTATATTTCTTCTTATAGTAATATAATGTCTCTTTATATTTGCAATCTTATCATCGATTTCGATGTTTGCAATCTGAATTGTATAAGAAATGTTGTTTTGTTTGTAAGACGCAAACTTTTTTTTTGTTTGTTAGCCCTTTTGTGATCTTCCATGAATATTTCTAGCGTGATCTTCAGTTAGAGAGAGAACCATTAAAAAACTAGGGACTCCTGTGCATGTATGAAGATGTATACTTCCTGGTTGGTGGTCGTCGGGACGGCTATCGATCAAAGGGCATGTATACTGCTCAGCAGTCTGCTCCGTTCTCCTTTATAGCTGTGAGACCTGGCCATTTAGAGTGGAGCGTCGGTGGCACAGTGGTTAGGACTCTCGCCGACCATGCACATGGTCCGGGGTTCGATCCCCTACCGACGCACACCCGATATCTATGGTCGGCCTGCAAAATTTGGGCTACCGATATCCCTGCTGAAAATGCCATACTTGTACTGAAAATACGGTGTGGAATCAAGCTGAAATCAAAATAAAAAATAAAATAAAATAAAGGACATGAAAAGGCCAGCTGTCTTTGATCATAGGTGCCTGCGTTCTATTTCCCGTGTGAAGTGGTATAATAAGGTGAGAAATATTGAGGTTAGGCGTCGAGTGCTAGGTGAGCTGGAGGGGAAATCAATCAACGAGGCTGTGAAGTTACACCGATTGAGAAAGATGGTTAGGACATGTGTTACACATGCATGCCTAACCATCACCTTTCTCGACAATGGGCAATGTTAGCTGACATAGAGTTAGGTTGAAAAAGAGCTAGAACTGTGCACTGATGTGCAGCAGTTCGAGTTGCCACCCTTCACTTAGGAAACCAAGCAAGAGAAGAAAGTAATAAGAAATTCAAAATAGAGGCAGTAAACAGAGATATGCGGTAAAAAGAATAGTAATATCGAAGAACTACATAGTTTCATTGGATATTATAAGTCACAAGGAGTGGATGCAATTGCTCCAGTCACCAATTGTCTCCAACCTTCATTGTTTTTTGCCGTCCTGTGGACCCCAACCAGTCTACATCTTCCTACGTGGCTGGCTTAAATTAACTGTTGTGGATTTGATTGACTGATGAAGCCATGTTTTGGTTTGACCATCATATGCTATGTTGATTCTAGTCAATCAGTCAAACTGCCGGACAGCTGTTTTGTCGTAGTTTAGAACTCTCCAGCTGTACTCATCCATGACCCTATCTAGGAACAAATCCGGAACCTTTGGGTTGCGAGATGACCTTGTTAACTATTCAGTCACTGTGACAGATACTCGCCGATGACTTGGCTGGTGGTGTTAACACTGTATATCGCTAATGCGTAGAAGCTAGAATGAATGCTATTCCAGTGACCGGACAGGTCAAAAAGCCCTCCTGGGTTCCATCCTTGGTGGGTGTCATGGATGCCTACCGTTGAAGAGTTGCAAACAGGGACAAAACGGCTGTCCAGCACATCCAGATCTAGACTTATTGCTAGGTTTAGACATAAACGACACAAACAAGGGACCGAATAAAACGGACGTAATGACCTTGACCGGACAATCAGTTGGGCTCGTGGTAAATATGCGTAAATATTTAAAAAAAACTTTTATCGACATGAAATTCAGTGTTTAAAAAGTAGTTATGCGGGGTAATGTGTCCCAAGAAAACCTGATTCCCTATTGGAATCTTCAGTGATAGTTCTGACCTATATACGTACATAAATTCATCCAGGTAACTGTAACTGCCGTTTCGTGACCCATTCACTACTATACAGCACTCATGAACCTTAAAAAGGAGTGAAGTACCTTCTCGGACAGAGTTTCTGTAACGACAGTCTGGACATCCATTAACACCGGCTGCATACATCTCCGTAAAGGCATTACTTCTCTAAATTTACAAGCTTCCTATAAGCCTATTATCCTTACAGTATTCAAATACTACCTCTTGATGGAATTTGCAAGTTTCGGAAGACTAAGCTTAATACTTAGAATACTATGCACTTTAACCGATTTAGAACAACAGAAAACGGTTGGGCAACACGTTAATATAATGCACAACGATATATCTGATCCTACTTCTCTAATCTTCTGGCAACCAGTACTCGATTAAGCAATGACAGCCGTCTTGTCTCCCGCCAATATGGAGACCACCAGGTCGAACAAACAAATGATTCAATGTTCACAAGCACTGACAGCAGGTTTTCTGCACAACTGGTATTTAAAAATGCCGAGTTTATGTATGGGTAGCTTAAGTATTCTACACTTTCAACCAGTTGTCTCCTCGGGTTTGAGTCGCATTCTACTTACTTCAGTCTGGGTGGACAACTGAATGATAGTATCATATAAGCCCTCGTAGGATAATTTTGTGTGGTTCACGACGCTTGGCACACTGTTATGATGTGTCTCCGAGCATAATAAATACGAATGCTAACTGACGATAATGAATGCTTCCTGACCAGAAACACTAGTAAATTCCAGAAGACTCTCACACATCAGGGTTGGAAACTTACGCGTATTTCCAAATTGCAAAGCGACAGAGAAAGTGACCAAGAGTACAAAAGTTTATATCGCATATATTGATCCAGTTACAAAAGTCGAATATATAGAAGGCGTTAACTGACTGCATGCTGGATTCTGACTGGTTGACGGCCATCATGTGACAACATGATTGATCGCGGATTGATATCAGTTACAGAGCCATTGAAAACCACAAGGGAGTACTGAACATCTGTCTCATCCTAGTTTGGGACTCATCGGTAGTATGCACCCACCGGGTTCCGGACTCAGGACCTTCCGTTTACAAAGGACAACTCGTATACCATTCAGTCACTGGGACCCGACTTAGTGGTTAGTCTATAAATTCTAACTTCTACCAATTTTTGATTTTAGTGCGATCGCTAGCCATCAAATCCCTACAGACAAACTCTTCAAAAGTTATTCGGACGCTTACTATTGACTGGCTGCAGCAGGAAGCTGCCTGGAGTTCTAGTGAGCACTCGTGACCACTGGGGCTCACTCGGTCGAGAGTGAAGACAAATACTCGCTGGCGATGACAATGGTTTGTGGTCGTGCTAAAATCAAAAATTTTTAAAAGTTAGAATTCATAGCTTGGCCATTGAGTCGGGTCCCAGTAACTGAATAGTCTAAGAGCTTAGTACATAACCGGATGGGCCCAGGTTCCAACTCTGCCAGTGCCTACTGCGGTTGAGTCTCAAACTGGACCGACAAAACGTTATCAAAATCTTGAAACAATGCCTTCAAACAATCAGTTCTCTGACTAACGAACTAATGAGGTAGATTGCGGACAAATATCAGACTAATAAGATAAATTATGGGTACTTATTAGATTCAGAAAATCTGTCTCAAGCAGTTCAGTTGCAACACACACACACACAACATAAGTGATTCCGTTGGTGTTGACAAAATTTAAACTCGCCATTATAATGTCTGAAAATCGCTTTGAACCGATCAATAATACTATTTTAGATTTTTAGATCTTTGTAGTATGTAATTTGATGAATGGTGACTAGCAGTGGAATTCAGGATGTGCATTTCAGCCTATTCGAGACTTCTCGTCAGCTGGATGTACACGTGCATTCCCCAGTGAGTGGTAGTGCGTCATCTATTAAAAACCTCTTGTGCAGCGAGCGTCAGGTATTATCTGCATTTAATTCCATTTTGGGTATTACTGTTGGCGAAATGAGCATCCTGGATTCTCCTGCTTGTCACCACCCATCCATCGAATTACTTCAAGTTAAATTCTCAAACATCGTCGAAGCACATATGCACAAGGAGCCGATATGTCAACAGAGCGATCCGAGCACTCCAGTCCAATCAATCAACGCGGAAGCCCTTAATGGAATAAAATAAACTTTTGTAGTATGTTTTCAAGTATTGGCTTTGTAGGGAGTTTGTTTGACTGGTTGGAGAATTTCATCATGAGCTGATATCAGTTAGAGAACCATTGGAAAACCACCTGGGAGTAATGGAAAGCTGTTTCGTCCTAGTCTGGGACTCTTCACCAGTACACACGGGCCATTGGACCGGGTTCCAGTGGCTTAATAGTCTACAAGCTTTCTAACCTTGTAACCAGAAGGTTCTGGGTTCGAACCCCTGTGGTGGGCGCGTACTGCTGAGGAGTCCCAAACTACGACAAAACGTCTGTCCAGTACTCCCAGGTGGTTTTCCAATGGTTCTTTAACTTTTTTAGTATGTATTGATAAAATTTTGATAAAGTAATTCATTCATGACTTTTTTTATCTTTCTCTTTTCTCCTCTTCTCTTCTCTTTTTAAGAAAATATTCAATTACACCAGACCATTGTGTGAATTAGATATGCGTCTTGAATTACCATGGGCTGAATTACGCTCAAATAATCAAGCAAGTTTAGCTGAATTATTTGTTGGATTTATTCATTATTATACAAATGAATTTAATTTTAACCAATGGGCTGTGTCTATCCGTCATGGAACACCATTACCTATAGATTTAGCTATTAAACGCTTACCACCACATGAACAAGCACATACTGCAAGAAATTTAAAAATTTTTATTGAAGGTAAGTTGAATTGTAGTCAATCTTTTTAAAATTGTATATATATATATATCGATTATAGCTTGATTCCACACCGTATTTTCAGTACAAGTATGGAATTTTCAGCATGTGATATCGGTAGCCCAAATTTTGCAGGCCGACCATCGATATCGGGTGTGCGTCGGTAGGAGATCGAACCCCGGACCATGTGCATGGTCGGCGAAAGTCCTAACCGCTGTGCTACCGATATATAATACATTTCTGTACACTAAGTATGCATGTCTATAACGAAGAGTGAACCATTTCCTTTCACAGCTGGATAAGTGTGTAATTCAAAGCTGGAACGATGAACTCAGTAACTAATTAGGATATGCCTAGTTGTCGCCTTCCTCGACAACGGGCAATGTTAGCTAAGATAGATAAGGTTGGAAAAGAGCCAGCACGTGGTCAAACCAAAACATGGCTACATCAGTCAATGAAATCCACAACAGTTATTTTAAGCCAGCCATTTAGGGGAGTGTAGACTTCCTGGTTGGGGTCCTCGGGATGGTAAAAACCAATGAAGGTTGAAGACAATCGGTGATATGGCTCATAATCGTTATCGGTGATGGCTGGCGCAGATGCATCCACTCCTTGTGACTTATAGTACCCAATAAAACTATATTGTCCTTCGGTATTACTATTCTTTTTGCCTTATATCTCTGTTTCCTGTCTCTATTTTGCATTTCTTTTTACCTTTTTCCCTTGCTTTGTGTGCTACATGGGATGTGGCGACTTGAACTGCTGCACATCGGTGCAGTTGTATGTTGAAACCAGTCAGTCAGTTAGACTCAGCTGCTAACCTCTCTCTCCTTCTGTCTCCCCACCTACCTATACTACCCTGATGATATCCAACTGTATTGTGTGAAATTGCATGGAAGTGACAACCACTGAATCTTTGTACGTTGACTTCACACTAAATGCATGCCATAGAAATGATGTAACACCTATTCCCCGGATACATTGGAAATTGTATTGAGCAATTAGTTCAGAGTGGTAATAACGTAAGTTTTGTAACGGAAGCAGATGAGAGACTTGGTAACGCACCTTTATTAAGGAAAAAACACATCACATTTATACATTCTTAGCCACATTAAGTGTCGGTTAGGAGAATAAATTGTTGTTCTGATTGTTTAGTCGAATAAGTCGTCCAGCGGCCATTGACTTAACACGTGGATTCCAGTTTTGGCCGTTTCTTATGAATTAGCGTTACTCCATACCATAATTTGAGATACAGTTTATTCATCGAAACACTTGACTTCCAACTAGTGGGTCTCCATTCCAAATTTGTAACTGACTGACTGTTTCAACATAGAACTTGGCACAGAAGTGCATCAGTCTAAGTTTCCACAGTTCATATAGTACACAAAGGTGGAGAAAATAAGACATTCGAAAGCACCATAATCATAAGCAGAAATGTGAGGCAGCAAGAAGAGTAACATGACGATTTAGTGGGTATGAGAAATCGTGAAGAGTGAATGTGTATCTGTACCATTGAGAGGCGACTTTGAGCCATATCACCAATCGTCTCTAGCCATTGATTCTTAGCATCCTGAGCAGTCCACCTGGTCAAACAATTCATACCTCCTTATGTGGCTTAAACTGACTGGCAAAGACTTCATGAATTGGTGCGTGCCAGGTTATGATTTGACCACCTTTGACTCTTTTCCAACCTTATTCCATGTCAGCCAACATTGCTTTTTTGGGAAGGTGGTGTCCTACCCATTTCAGTCGATGGCTTCACAACCTCATTATATATATATATATATATATATATATATATATAGCTGATCAAGACACTCTATTTGAACTCATGTAGCTAGGTGAGAGCTTAGGGAGAGTTGTCATGTGAAGTGGTGACAACCAGTGAATGCCCACTATCCCTGTTTGTGTTTAATTTCATCATAGATGTACTAAATGGACTTAACCTTAAGTGACTTCACCAACTCAGAGATTGAATTGTTGACTTAGAATATGCAGATGATATAGTCCTCCCTGCTAGGTGAAGACGCTAACAAAATAGAGTAGAGTATTCCGAACACCTTGAGCTGCAGTCTGTGAATGTTTGGCATGCGATTCGCTCCCGTAGTCACATGTAAGATGGTGCTACAGGACTCAACTGGACTAAATCGACATGAGTGAATTAGTTGGTGGAGCGTGTATCAACACGCTCAGTTACATCAGTCAACGCCATCGGGTTGATCGCTAACGATTTCTCATCATGAATACAGAAGGCTCGTTTTGCACTTACCAACTTACGTCATCTTTGACTTAGTAGACGTGATAGTCGGTTGGCTGTCGACCAAAGGGCGTGTGTACTGCTCAGCAGTCCGCTTTGTCCTCCTTTATGTCTGTGAGTGAGATATGGTCATTGAAAGTGGAAGACAAGAAAGACAGGCTAGCTAGCTGTCTTTAACCATAAGTGTCTGCATTCTATCTCCCGTGTTAAGTGGCGTGGTACAATAGAGTGAGCAGTATTGAGGTTAGACCATCGAGTGCCAGCTAAGGAAGGGAAATTAATCGCGACAAGGTTGTGAAGTTATATCGTTTGATAGAGATGGTTAGGACTTGTATTACTCGTGCATCCCTAGCCATTGGTCTCCTTTCACGTCGGGCAAAGTTGGTTGACACAGGATCAGGTTGTTGAGAAAGAGCTAATGGTGATCAAACCAAAACATGGCTTCATCAGCCAATGACATCCACAACAGTTAGTGTAAGCTGGTCACGTAGGAAGGTGTAGATTTCCCGGTTGGAGTCATCGAAATGTTAAAAACCATTGAAGAATGGAGACAATTGGTGATATGCTCAAAATCGTTGTCACTGGCTGGTTCGGCTGCATTCACTCTTTGTGATTTGTCATATCCAATAAAACTTCCATATTACTATTTTTCTTCACACTTCTGTTTATTGTCTGTCTTTTGAACCTCCCTTTACTCTCTTCTCGTGCTTTGTGTGCTACATGGATATGGAGTGTGGCAACCCGAGCTGCTGAGCGTCTGTGCAAAGTTCTGTGTTGAAACCAGTCAGCCTTATATATATGTGTATATATATATATATATATATATATATATATATGCATATCAACAGTAAAGTTGATTATTGGTGTTAAATAAGTTCTTCGTGTTACTACCAGCTCTCTGACATTTTCTTTAAAAGGTAATTGACTGTTCTCACTGTCAGTCAGTCTCATGGAGGCTTTCATATCAAAGCTTGCTCTGATGAGGCTGTCTAGAAGCACAAAAAAAAGTCCTGAGAATTAAATCAACCAGTTCAGAGGTGAACACAAAAAATTTAAAATTTTCCACCTGAACTAAAAATCTTCTTTATTATTTCAAAAAGTGATTATGGAGGGGTAGGTATTAAATCACCTCAGTATACATATATCTGTCTTGTGTAGAAGTCCACTGTGAATTAATCCAGTGGGGGCACTCAAGTCGTAATGGATTTAAGTTTTACATATGCAGAGCTACGTGACGAAGATCCCTGGCCAACAGCAATTGCAACAACAACAGCAGACAACAATCAACATAAATGTGAGAAATGTGAAAGAAGTAACCTCCTTCATTGAGAGCTGTCTGGGAAGCATCGTTTCAACTACAAGCGGATGGAACTGATGCGGATATCAAAGTGCGAGGATCGGGAAAGTAGAGCAGGCTTTCATTACTGTCAAATCAATATGGAGATCAACAGCACTCAGCATGAAAAATAAGATCCGGATATTCAACTCGAATATGAAGTCAGTGCTATTATACAGATCAGAGACAGACTTGGCGTCACTTCACGAAGGGCACTTCGAACAAACTACAGACCTTCATCAACAGCTGTCTTCGCTCAATACTACTCAAGATCAGATGGCTGGCCAGAAAACATCAGCAACAGGATCTCTGGGAACGAACCAACTCAGCAGGAACCAATTGTGTAACAAATATGCAGGAACAAATGGAGGTGGATTGGCCGTACTCTGCGATCATGAACCATCAAGTGAATGACATCACACGCCAGACCATCGTTCGAGTGGAACCCGAAAGGGAAGTGGTGAGTCAGTTGGTCATCAGTGCGAGGGTGACATCGAGGAGGGGGTGATGCGAAGAGATGATGAAAGCATGTATGCAGATGTGGTGTCAGGTGAAAACGTTGGCAGAGAACTGAACGCAATGGAGACGTACGGTTGAAGCCCTATGTTCCTCCAGGAAGTAAGGGAGACAATAATAGATAGATGGAGTAAGCATGATTACATCCCATAAAATTATAATTGGAAAATGCTAAAAGCCTTACAATAAAGGAAAAAAAACCAAAACAAACAGTAGTGAAGCTGTTAACCGTACCATTAGTTCAGAAGGGATTTAAAGCATCTACAGTGTTACCGTATAAAGGAAGGCCACGTGAAACCCTACGTGGGATTCATAATAATAATAATAATAATAATAATAATAATAATAATAGTAATGCAGGAATCAGTCTGGCATTCATTCAAACCTGCAAACTCATTTGCGCACACACTGTGTAGGCTAAAGGACCACATTAGAGCCGATTAGACAGATTTAATTTACTAAATACCTTGCGACGACTATGGTGCGTCGATGGCTGTCTATGATCGTGGTAAAGTTAGGTTGCCAAAATGCAGAGATTCAACGGAGTGTCACAGCGTGTTTTATGTGGAATATAAAGTTATTCTCTTATGAAAATTTTACTCTATTACAAAGCCTAAATTTTTAAAAATTTCTTTTCTTATTTTTTTTTTTTGAAAGAACCTTTCTGTCAGGCAAATGCTGCACGATCCCTTCATGCTGATAATATTGTCTCACGAATAAGACAAGCATTTATTAAGACGAATCAAATTCTACGCTCACAACGTCCACTAGAATCATTATGGATCAATAACAATAATATTAATGGTAATTATAATGTTGACTGTATGGAATGAACGGGTAATTGAGTGGATAACTACCTTCTCCGGGTTTTCTTTTCCCATGACTATCATCGTCTTCTGTTACTTTACACTCCTTTTGATTGGTTGTCATTAGTAACCTGGGGGAAGAATACTTTTCAAATCTTGATGTATGCATGGATGGATAATATATACCCTTGTTTTCTCTTTTTCTGACAGTATACTATATTATATTACCATATATAGAAAAATGGAGGACTTGAACACAACAGCAGCTACAATAACCCCTTATTTTTTGTTCAATTTTTTCCCCTTCAATGTTCAATGTACGTCTTTTTGTTTAAAATAACCATCTTTTTTTTAAATTTCCCGCTTCATTTAACATTTAACAACAAAAACTAACGCTACTTGCAGTGCAGCTAAACAACTTTAAGAAACTACTAAAATAAATAAGCATTTGTAAAACTTTCAAAAACCGTTTCCCCCCCCCAAAAAAATTATATATATAGATATAGATATATCTGTTAATTCTTTATATATATATATTATTACTGTTATTATTAGTGTAAATACTATTTGACATAATAATAATAATAATACCGCCACTAATAAGTGTGTCATGAATGCGCACATGCATGTCATATTCATTCATATTTGTACATACTATAAATAATTATTTATAGATATAGTATATAAATATAGACAATCTATATACATATCTTCGCAATCTCTGTAATTCTAGTAATATTTATTTGATTGATTCCTTTTGTGATTCAATATTGATTGATGATTCACACACAACATTCATTCAATTGTCCAATAGTGTGTCAAATGTTTCAGTCATGATGATGATGGTAGTGATGATTACGCTTCCTCGTGTGTGTTTTATTTTCAATGTTCAATATCAACGAAAAATGCGCGCTTTTTTCAAATTTAAATTTCCCTTCTCTTGACTTTTTCTAAAAAATAATAATGATAATAAAAAGAATAGGGTTTTTTGGTTTTTGAAATGATGGTATATGTATGTCTTTGATTGGGTGGGACGTGTTCAATAACAGCTGTCTTCCCTTATAATCTATTTATTATTATTATTGTTATTATTATTATTACTTGTGATTGATTACTCGGGCGGATAGTAGTGATAATAATAATAATGATAATTTGCCCAATTAGTGTTTTTTCCTTCCCATTTCCCCTCCCCCCGGCGTCTCTCCTTCCTGCCCACATCTTCTAAACTGTATTCCTGTAATCAACTCTTTATCTTCCTTCTTTAATGACTCTTTAATATATAATTCTTATTTAGGAATTATTTCTCGTTAACGTGTGATTCAAACTTGAATTCTATTGGTGTTACCATGACTCTGTAGTCATCAGCGTCATCATTATTATTTGATTGGATTGGATTTGAATTTATGTTTATTATTTTTGTGTGGAAGAGTTATTTCACTGTGTCTTTCATGAAATCCATGATACGTGATCCTAGAAGCTGGTGATGGGATGTAAACGTCTCGGTGTAGTTGTCTGCTGCTGCTGCTTCCTGTGTGTGTGTGTGTGCCTGTGTTCTACTGCGAGTACTTTACTGGCGGAATTGACAATATCATTCATTCATGGTGAACATGTTGTGCATATGTGAGTGTGTTCCATCTTTGAAAACATCTTGGGGGACATAAAACTGTGTTTGTGTGTGTGTGTTGTATATGAATAGTGTTTCTCTGTCCTTCTCCGTGTCTCTTCGTGTGTGTGTGTGTATGTGTGCGTGTTAAATTCAGGGAGACAATAAAATTCCCTCTGTGTTGTATATCATTAGTGTGTTATAGAGACAATTTTAAGTTGTCCCATTATTTTTTTCTTTGATAACAACATTTCATTTTTGTGCTTTAGTTATTTATTTATTTATTGAGTTTTTGTATGTATGGTAAGAATTGACTGTAAAATTCCATACTCTCTTTTTGTTGTTGATGTAATAAAGTTTATTTCAAAAAAAGGGTTTGACTTCTGCACTTCTGCGCTTTTTCTTTGTTAGTGTTTATCATTTTTATTATTATTACTTAAACGCAGAAAAACTCGGTACAATATGGCACCAAGAAAGATGCGCCACACAATATTGTGTGAGGGCTGAGATACGGCCCGAGCGCCCAGACCGAAGCAGGTGGTTATCTTAAGGGACCACCCCCCGAGCCTTTGACTTGGAGTCTAACTCGCAAGGCAGCGGAGCAGCGTCAGGTGCTGCGTTCCCATGGTTGCCGGTGACCTACATGGGTTCGTACGCCATTTGATCCGATTGGATTCTGGAGCCCATGTACCCCATGGTAACTGCTTTTAGTCTAACCGCTATCCGAACAACCTTCCTGACATGGTAGGACCTGCAGGGACATGAGTCCCAGCCAGTTTAGCTTGTTGGGTCACTGCGGCATTCAAGCCGGACCCCCACGGCAAGGTAGCAGTAGTAGCATGATGTTGTTGGAGGTGGTAATGGCTAGCTGTGGAATCTGGGAAATGCGCGTTTCTCCGTATTTGGGATGTGTCAGGTGAATATGTACTTGCACCACCATCGTCCTGAGTGATTGATAGTCTTTTTTGGGGTAGTTGTATTCTCTAAGCTGGATAACTTTCTAGTCGGTCGGTTTTCGATATAGAACTTTACACCGATGTGCGGCAGTTCAAGTCGCCACACTCCATGTAGCACACAAAGCAAGGGAAGAAAGTAGAAGAAATGCATATCAGAGACAGTAAACAGAGGTGTGAGACAAAGGAATAGTAATAATGAAGAACAAAACAATTTAATTGGAAATCATAAGTCACAAGGAGTGGATGCATCTGCAGCAGTCATTGAGAACGATTTTGAGCCATGTCACCAATTGTTCCCAACCACTGCTTTTTACCGTCCTGAGGACCCCAACCAACCAGTCAGGAAGTCTACACCTTCCTACGTGGCTTAGACTAACTGTTGTGGATTTCATTGACTGGTGCCATGTTTTCGTTTGACCGTCGCTAGCTCTTTTCCAGCCTGACCCTATATCAGCTAACATTGCCCGTCGAGGAAGGCGATGACTAGGCATACGTAACACATATCCCAACCATCTCAGTCGATGTAATTTCACAGTCTCGTCGACCGATTTCCCCGCCTTACCTAGCACTCGACCAAAGTTTAACCTCAATATTGCTCACCTTATCATACCATTTCACGCGGGAGACAGAACGCAGACACCTATGATCGAAGACAGCTAATCTTTTCACGTCTTCTGTTCTCAATGGCCAGGTCTCACAGCCATAAAGGTGGACGGAGCGGACTGTTGAGCATTACACACGTCCTTTGGTCTATAGTCGGATATCACGTCTACGCCAGAGACGGCGTAAACTGGGATATGTGAACTTAGTCCTCTGTATTCGTGCTGATATTTCGTCGGAGATCAACCCGTTGGCACTGGCTGAAGGTACTTCCCAAGTAAATGAAGTGGTCAACGTGCTCTACCACTTCACTTCCTATTTCTAATCTATGGGTCGGTGAAGTCCAATCCTGCAGCATCATCTTACATTTTACAGGGGTGAATCGCATACCGAACATACGAAGATTGTTGCTCAAGGTGTTCAGGAGACTGCATTTTGTCAGCGTCCTCGCCTAGAAGGACTATATCGTCCGCATATTCTAAGTCAACGAGATTCTTCCCTGGTGGCAAGTCAATCTCTGAGTCTCCGAAGTGAGTTAGGGTTAAGTCCATTAGCACATCTATGATGAAGTTGAATAGGAATGGGCAGCCTTGACGGACGCCACTAGTCGTCACCACTTCAGATGACAACTCGCCATAAGCCCTCACCTGGCTGCATGAGTACGAGTAGAGTGCCTTAATCAGTGCAATGTATTTTCTCGGCATTCCCTTTACAGCGAAGCTTTCATTGCCTCACGAGGTAACGTCTTCTTCACGCACAGACTTCGATTCGATGAAGTGAACTTTAAAATTTCTCTCTCCTGGTCATAGTGAACGTGATTGGTCGCTTTTGTTTGTTTTCACACCTTCTAGTCTACTTGTGTTGGTGTTGATTGTTTTCTTGATTAGAAGTTTGACCTGTTTGTGTATAAGGTTTTTCTTTTATGGGATGATAAATTCTATATGTGTCAATATGCGTCCAAGGGTGACTTGGAGGAGGTCATGTGAAGAGGAGATGAAAACGTGTGGGCAGACATGGAGCCAGGTGAAGACTCTAGCAGAGAACAGAACGCAATGGAGACGCACGGCTGAAGCCCTATGTTCCTGTAGGAATTAAAGTATACAATAATAATAATAACAATATGCGTCGGTGGCACAGCGATAGGATGCTCGCTAACCACGCCACACATTGTCCGGAGTTCGATCCCCGGCCAACGAATTCCTTTAACTCGTTAAGCCAGTAATAAGACTGGTAAAGAAGGAAGGTTGGACATGAGGCTGGCTAAAACAACCCAATCCCGTAAAAGGAAATAACGCTGTTACTGAAAATTTAAGCCTCTAGCTTGAATGAAAAAAAAATGTTCCTGTTAATTGCCGATTCACTGGAATAACAGGCTTCTGAAAATTCTCTGGCGTGACTGGTCTTTCCTCTTTCTAATATTTGAAAATTGTCCCAGTAGAATTGATGTTCATGGTTTTCTGTATGCAATTAGTAATATGACGGGTGTGTAGATGTCATGTCTTTTGATGGTTAGTTTGTGATGATGGATGCAAAGAGGAAGAGGACGTCTACCTTGGCCAATGTAGTGTTTTTCGCAGTCGTTGCAATTTATTTTGTAGATGATATCTGCTGTATCTTTTGCTGTTTAATCTTTTAGTTGACACAGAGCCAATCGAGTGAAGTGATTTTGTTTGTTTATGTGCGATATCAATTCCTGAAGGTGATTTCTGAGACGTTCTTTATAAATGGTAAGACTATTTTCTTTGTGTTTTCCTTGGGGATCTTTGATTTGGTAGGTTGGCTTGGGGGGGGGGGTAGATGTCTTTCGATGAAGTTTCGTGGATGTCCATTTTTCTTGGAAGACGTCAATAAAGATACTTTTCTTCGATTTTGCTTAAGGTAGGAGTGCTGCAATGAGTCCTGACCCTCTTGAATAGTGGTTATATGCAACTCTTTTAGTGTTTTATTGGGTTGTTGTTGCTGTTGTAATTGAGTATTTGATTTGTGTGAGTTGATTTTCTGCAAACTTGAGTTTCTAATTTCCCTGTAATTGTTGTCTTAATTAAGATGTCCAAAAATGGAGTGGTAGTCTTTCCCATCTTCTTCATTGTGGCTTGAAACCAGCATCCCCATCGTTTCAAACGCCAAGACGTTATCCATTAGGCCACGAGAACCATGCCAACAGGTACTTAGACGTGCGCGCATGAACTCTTTTTAAATGACCTCTTGTTTTACCTGAGGAGACGCAGCAAGGTGAAAGCTGCGAGTACTGACAGTCTGATAAAATCCCTTTAGCAAATTTGTTGCATGAAACCAGGCGCCTATCAATGACGATGTCACCGATATGGTCCAATGGGATACCACCACCACTCGCCCTACTGACAGTCCTCAGTGCCCTACGAAGTATGACATGATCTTTTTTAAGCAATTCAGGAAAGAATAAGGGTGGATAGTAAAGAAGAATGAATAGGTAAGATGCAAGAGTTGACAAACTGTAAGCGGAGGAGGCGTTGAGATATGCCCGAATGCCTAATCTTCTTAATGTATATATATATATATATATATGCATTGGAGTAGTCGTGCGGACGTAACTTAATAGACAGCTCTCTTGTCTTATAGATTAATCTTCTCTATAAGAGATGAGCGGTAGTCTCCCCTTAAGGGTTTAATAAACTAATACAATCGATAGTATCTCTGAAGGAAATAAATATGAATGGATCCTCCGATATATAACGTTACCTTAAACAGGCACTTACATTTTAGATTCACTAGTTCAAGTTGCCGCAAACAGCACAAAAATACGAATTGACAAGGAATAATTTGAAAGTCGTTAGAAACAAAAGTGATCAGAATGGAGAAGGAAGTATTCGAATCAGAGTTTTAAAAAAACCATATGGATCTTCTTAGTCATCTTTTGCCATTACAATAGCATAAAGTGAATAACTAGTCAAGTTTTCAACCATTTAGAAATTGTAGGGACTTGAAATCAACGGAAAATGAATGATCAAGTTGTCGTTTTGTCTTTCCTGTTATACTCTTGACTAACAAGATCTCAATTGATCTATAAGAATCGATGTTATAGAACCTGTGTACTGTGCAGTGATTTGTTCTGTTTTCCTTTATAGCTTTGACACCTGGCAGTTGAAGGTGGAAGATATGAAGAGACTAACAGCTTTTGACCACAGGTGTCTGTGTTTAGTTTTCGTGTTAGTTGATCCAGTATGCACAACAATGGCAGTGAGTCAGATACAGAGCCTGTGAAGCTGTATCGATTGAGATAGCTAGAACACGTCAAACGCATCCTTGGTCTGCGCTTTGTCGGACGAGCAATATACAGTGACTGACTGGCTGACTGGTTTCAACATAGAACTTTGCACCGATGTGCAGCAGTTCGAGTCGCCACACTTCACCTAGCACACAAAGCAAGAGAAGAAAGCAAAAAGAAACGCAAAATAGAGAGAGTAAACAGAGATATGAGGCAAAAAGAATAGTAATATCAATGGAACCATATAGTTTTATTGGATATTATAAGTCACAAGGAGTGGATGCATCTTCGCCAGCCATTAAGAACTATTCTGAGCCATGCCACCGATTATCTCCAACTGTCACTAGTTTTTACCATCTCGAGGACCCCAACGAGAAAGTCTACATCTTCCAACCTGACTTAAAGTAAATGTTGTGGATTTGATTGACTGATGAAGTCATGTCTTAGTTTGATTACCACTAACTCTTTTCCAACCTGACCCTATGTCAGCCAACGTTGCCCATCGTGGAAGGCGATCGATGGCTAGGTTAGCATGCGTAACACATGTCCTAACCATCTCAATCGGTGTAGCT